ATGTATGTATGTATGTATGTATGTATGTATGTATGTATGTATGAATAAATAAATAAATAAATAAATAAATAAATGAATGAATAAATAAATAAGGAAAGCTAGAAACTTAGGGATAGGACTTGATTTTTGCATGTTCCTCAGCTATCCTTTTTATCCTCCTGGTCGATAGAAGAATTAGGGAAAGTGGAAGAGCTACTTCACTCTGGATCTTCCTAACCTCTGGAGAATTTTCAGGAAAAGATTAGGCATTTTACCTAGAGAAGGTTGGGTATTAATAGACTATGAAAATTGCTGATTGCATTTATTTCTTTTATATTTAAGCAGAATTCAGAACCAAGCCAGTCTGAAAGAAGATACCGAAACAAAAAAGACCATATGATATGCAAAGTCATGTGCTTGTGTATTGCCTATTCATCCACTTTTGGAGGACTGACTACCATCACTGGGACGTCAACCAACTTAATATTTGCAGAACAATTCAATACGTAAGAAAAGGGATTAAGTTATTTGTTTTGAATATTATTTTAAATTCCTCTCTTCTGTCCATTTAAGTTAATTTGTGTTATGTCAGTGCAGTGCTTTCCCTTTCTCATAATTGAACCTTTCTGCTTTGAATGTCAATGCTAATGAGAGCTCCTACATCGTAAAGCCCTTTTGCTTTTGGGAAGAAGTCAGCAGAAGGGTTTTCTTCACTGATGTATCCCTGCTAAACCAGACAGACAACTTGAGCCCTGTATTCAGATCTGGAGCTCTTCAGTGGCCCAAAGCAGTTTTTACTGGAAAATGCCCTTTCTTAATCCTTCTCCTTCTTCGCATCACTAGTCATACCCATAGCTTACCACATTATAGCTAGCTAGCTCAAAAGACCTTCCTATCAGATCATATACATCCCCAATATAACAACCATCCATTCAAATAATTTACATTACCCTCTTTGTAGATTACCTATCTATATCACACCATCTCTTTTTTTTAACCAACTAAGGTAAAATTAATTAATGATTGTATGAACCACGGTCACTATCCACGTATTTCTGAGTACTCAAGGCAAGGCTTTATAATTTTATCTTGTTTTTGTACTTCTGTACTCTTTATGATGTCACAGTAGGCAGGAATGCTCACCTTCATTTCACACTGAGAGCACACCTGCTTAATTTTCTCCTTTTAAAATCATAGCTCTTTAATTTTTTAACTGCTTAGATTACTCTGTGTACAAACAGGAGGTAAAATATTGCCATTAGGACTAGCAGCCATAGATAACCTTATCCTCTATGAACAGAGGATTTTATGACATTCATAAAAACACAGTGTAATAGATGCAGAGGGCATTACACAGATCAGAATGACAGAATAATAAATCTGTAATCATGGCTGAAATAATTATTTGGCAAATTGGCTACCAGTCCTTCCCTCCTCCTCCCCATTTCTATTAATCCCTTTGAAAGTACTGGAGCTGTTTCAAAAACATTTCCTAAATGATTTTGGCTTCATGAAATTTAACTCACAGGTAAAGCTGTACGGTGCATAATTTGACAATATATATGTGGGAACTGCAATTTTTTTCCTTGATACTGATAACAATCATAGTATCGATGAGCATTCTGCCAGTTTTGCTTTACATCCCAAAGATTACTAATCTGCTAAAATCATTTCCAATTGCCAGGAATATTGTCTGTCTGCCACTTGTAATTCATTCAAAGTTGTATCACCGCAAACTGAATTTTACACGGAAGAATATATCATAGTTACCTCAAAGCAATAAAAGAAAAGCGTACATATAATCAAATAAGCCAAGACACATAAACATTTTAAAATCTTGTTGAATACAAAGCAAGGGAATAATAACTGTGCCAGAGCAAAATCCATATCTCCTCTAGTTCCTTGGGTGAGTCCATTTTGATCCACGGGGAATGGCATGTGCATTTTCCATTAGAATTAATTTCCAACAGACCTAGGATTTGGGTTGCATGGGGTATCTAAGAATGGCTACAAAAGTCTATTAAAATATGACATATCATTATGATATTGGCTTAATGGGAGTCTAGGATAATTTTTAGAGTGGCTTGTGATGCTACTGTTTTAACTGGAGATATATTCCTGATCATATTAATTGGATCATAAAAGCTACTGGATAACTGGATACTTTTTCTGGCCCGGTTTTCTTAAATGTCTTGTTCTTTTGCTAAGGATAGAAAGAAACTCACCTGGTGTGTAAAACTTGTCATTCCAAAGGTTCCTAATAGCTGAAAAGCAGTTAATAAGCAATTTCCAAAAGTGATTAGAAAAGGAAGTATGCGAACCCATTGTCCATTAAGGTGCCAACTGTGGTTTAAGCGAAAATGGCTTTCCCTTGTCTCCCAAAGCTCTAAACCCACCAGAGACTGCTGTCTTGCATCTCCTCATGAGGAGTAACTGTCTGGAGCACTTGTGAGCAATCTCAAGACCTCTCCTTGTCCAGAGAGAAATTATGAGGAGCCAGTCTACTCACTGGCTCTTCATTCCGCCACAGTCGTCAGCTCTGCTTTTAGCGGAGCCATCTTCAGTTCGCCATTTCTTCCCCGGAAGTCACATGAATGTATCACTTCTTTTTCATCTGTTCCTTTTGCCTGTTCTTTTCCCTTTGGCTCTGTAGTAACTAGGACTCCACATTTGCCTTGTTGAAGGCAGGGAAGGGCAGAGAAATGAATGTCAACAGCTACTGCTTTCTCAACTCATAATGCACATTCACAGGTTGGCAACCAAGCACAGAAGCTATACAGCGGGCTCTAATAAATAGCTTGAGTAAACAGGAAGTGCTAAGAAAAATTAATTCATGGCAAAGACGGAGGATGGAGAGGTGTGGAATTGGAGCTAGGTGAGCAAAGGAGGCATGTAGAAAGGCAATGAATTGAGCAGCTATTCAGCAGAGGGAAAATGAATGCCCAGGATAAAGAAATATCATCACCAAACCACATTAATGTCTTCAGGCTTTATAGCTTTCCATGATACAGCTGCTCCTCTCTGTTCCACTTAGCTATGATATAGTTTCACTGTTCTTATTAGGGGTTTTATGGGGGGAAGGATATCCTTCTCTTGAAACTTAAATAACATAAACTCCTAAGAACATTCTTAAGATAAATAAAAACCCTGTTGCAGAGTGGTAATCTTATATCTAGGCTTGTCCTGATAGAGCAATTTTGTCCCTGCAGCTATACATCACCTTCAGTTCAGCTGCTTCCTAATGAAAATGACAGTGCGTGACAATAGCCATGAAAGAAAGTCAAGATGGGAGGGAAGTGTTCAAAGAAGAAGTCTCCAACTCTCTTTCATATCAGTAATCTGTGATATGACATACTTGTCATATTGTCCAAGTCCCTAAGGGCAAAGATAGGCTCTTTTCAGCCTGGGAGTTTGTTAGTAAAAAGTTATCTGAGACAGTCGTTTGTTCAACTAGGTTATAATGGTTATGTAATCAGAGATTTCCATTGGAAGGGTGGGGGGCTGCTTTTGTTAGGCAGCTGAGCTTACTCCTTTTCTAGTTAAGCCTGTTTCTTATATTTTAATTTTGGGATGTATATTCACTTCAAACTGCCCATATTTCCATATCATCTCATGCTAGAATCCTGGCATAATAAACTATGCGTGCATATAGCCATTCCATCTCATGAACAAAAGAGGAAGGATTAGCTTTATTATTTGTTTGTTTAATTATATTTGCACACAATCAGAGGACTCTTAGCAGTTGTACTGAACTTTTAACTCAGCACCATGGTGAAATGCACCCCATAATCCAAGATCATAAGCCAGCCTTAAACCAGGGTATGTTATTGCCTTCACAAATCTTATTTTGTCTGGGTGGATTTAATCATAATCTCATGTTCCCAAATAATCCCTTCCTTATTTACTAGTTCTCTTAAAGCCAGGAGCCAAGTAAGAATGAATGGACTGCTCCCGTGCTACTTATTCACAGTCTGGTTGAATAAACCAAAATTCCTGGCTAACAATGACGCACAACTTTGGCTAATCTGATAGTGCCATTTTTCACAATGATCAATATTTCTCCTAAAAGGGTGGGCTTTTTAAACAATGTTTAGAGAACTTCAAACTTTTGCAACAACTTGAGGACATGGGATATCTCTGGTCTCTGGGTCATTTCCCCATTAGTCATTGTACCATCTTCTAGCACCATTCAGCCATCTTTGAGGGCTGTCTGCAATATTGTTATATTGGCACAACAATGGTTGGATGACTTTAGAAGTTCCTGTAATGACCAGCAGGACACGAAGACACATTTCAGAAGAAATGTCAAATAGTACCTGGAAATCTTTCAGTGTAGTTTTATCATTTCAGAAAATGAGGTTCACTTTTTGTATAACACATAGACAGTGTATACTAAAAGTCTATCCAGATTATCCTCCTTGAACGTCATAAAGGATCAGTTGTTACCAACTGAGAATAAAAGTAAAACTAGGCATTCATCTTCAGTAAGAACCAGGTTTTCATCAGGATCCTTGCCTCAAAATCATTCAGACAATTGCGGAAAGTGAAGCGACTTAGTTTGAAGCAACCAATGGAAAAATAGTTTGCTTTTGGAACTTTGGAACAATTTTGTTTCTAAATACCTTTTTCTTTAATTATTTGATGTATTTTTTAAAATCTTTTCCCATATCTCCATAAATTAAAAAAAAAAATCAGGCAGAGAAAGGAAAGCATTGTTCTATGCTGAAAACTTTAGCTTCCAGTCAGGAATGATTATATGATTATTAGGTCATACTTCCAGTCATAGTGCTTGAAAGTATATTCTGGAAGCTATGATTGCTACATAGTGAGCAGCAAAGAAAAGCATCTTTAAACTCTAAAATACTAATGTTTTATTGCAGAATTCATAAACCTCAAAGCTATGCTTATCTTTTCCCCCAGCAACTTAGAAGCCCTTTCATACACTGTTATATTTGTTTAAATTGCCCCCAGAACCATAAGAAAGGCAACCAAACTGTTTTGTTTTTAATTTTTTTGGCTTTAAAGATGCTGCCAGAACATCCCTGCCTGAAATCCCACAGATCACTATGACCAAACTTTATTCATTTCTGCCCCAATGTAAAAAAAGTGATAAGCATTTGTTGATTCTCATATTGCAGGAGAAGCCATACTATTCTCCACCCCGCGAAAGCATCCAAAGCTTTTGAAGACAAGAAACTGTCCAGATAAAGTGTGATGTCACCAGACCTATTAATAAGACAAGTTCAGAAGGGTTTTTTTCCCCCTTATAATCCCAGCCCCCCACCGGCCATAATTAGAACCAAAACCTGAAGTACATACTTTTTGTTGCTATGGTCTGTCAAGTCAGCCTTGACTCTTGGACAGGACCATGCAGTTTTCTTGGAGTGGTTTGTCAGTATCTTCTTCTGGAATGTTTTTCAACTTTCCAATCTAAGACAGAGAGACTGACTGGGCTAATGTCATCCAGCTGGCTTTCATGCCGAAGGGAGAATGCCCTACTCCAAGTCTAGCACCTTTAACCACTCCACCACACTAGCTCTCATATAGTATGCACTAGAAGTTTTTTATTGCAACTGAGTTCACCACCCCATTTCCTGAAAGTCTACTCCTTCAGGTTCACCTTGGCATGCCAGGCTGCTTTGCCATTTCAGATTACTTTAATTGGTTTAACTGTCTCAGGGAAGCAACATATAGCTTCCCCAGAACAGCTAGTCCAATAAAAAGATATTACCTTGCTTAATTTATAACTCTCAAATCAAGACTGAAACCTTTGTTCCAGGAAGAGTTGAATAAAATCATTCAGAGCATTTCAATTAATGGAACAAGTACATATCTGCGTCTGTTAAGCTATTAATCTGACTTTGGAGTTCAGGGGGTATTACTAGGCTGAGAGGGTCACATGACTCAAGAGAACTTGCCATGAATGAGGTATTAAGCCTCTGACTAGAACTGTGCTTGCTCCCCAAAGGTCCATGTAATTCAATATTTGAAACTACCAGGGCTGATGATTATGGATTTCTGTTGAGATTACCACAGAAATCTTCCACTTTTCCTATGCATATGCAATTAGTCAATACATTTAACAATGATTAAATTAAAAAAAAAATCATACGAGGATACCAATATCAAAGGAAACATAGGTCAGCATGTTTGCAACAGATAAAGTACCACCTTCATATAAATGTTATCTAGAAAACTTTCATGAACTGATAGAAGACAAATTGAAAAGGAGTAATCTCTGCTGCATATAGGCGTACTCTAATGCAGTGTTGTCCAAACTTGGCCACTTTAAGATGAGTGGACTTCAACTCCCAGA